TCCAGCAAGATTATCCTTCAAATGGGAAGAACAAATAGAAGTATTCTCAGATAAACAAAAACTGAAAGAATTCACCAATAATAGACCAGCTCTATAGGAAGTACTGAGGGGAGTGTTGTAACAGGATAACTAAAGAGAGACAATCAGAATCAGGAGAACAAAAAACAACTGAGAAAACGGCCCACAAAATGACAGGGACAAATCCGCAAATATCAATAACACTGAATGCTAATGGATTATATTCTCTTATTAAAAGACACAGACTGGCTGAAAGGATACAAAAACAGAAGCCGTCTATACACTGCTTACAAGAAACGTATCTCATTTACAAAGACATACATAGACTGAAAGTGAAGGGCTGAAAAAAGATATTCCATGGCAATGGAAACCAAAAATGGCTGGAGTAGCAATACTAGTATCAGACAAAATAGACTTTTTAAGATGAAAGATGTAAGAGGAGGCAAAGAAGGACATTATATAGTACTAAAAGGACTTGTTCACCAAGATATAACACTTGTAACTATCTATGCACCCAACACTGGAGTGCCTAAAAACATCAAAGACAGACTGTTAGATCTCAAGGGAGAGATAGACTACAACACGATAATTGTAAAGGATCTCAGCACCACACTAACTCCTCTGGATAGATCATCTAGACAAAAAAGTAAAGAGATGTGAGATCTGAATGATAACCATACATGAAATGGACTAGACTGACATCTACAGAGTATTTCACCCAACTACCACAAAATAGACATTTTTCTTACCCTCAAATGAAACATTTTCAAAATCAACCACATGACAGGGCACAAAACAAGCCTTTACAAATTCAAAGGTATAGAAACTATATCTAGCATCTTTTCTGACCACAATGGAATCAAACTTGAAATCAACTACAGCAAGAGCCCTTAAAAATTCATGAACTCATGGAAACTAAACAACCTACTCCTGAATGACTTTACAACTATAAAAGAAATTAAGACTGAGGGACTAGCAAATAGTATAATGGTTACATCATTGGACTCCCACATAGTTGAATATTGTTCGAATCCCAGACCCAGTGGCTTAAACTCATGCTGAGTGAATGTGAGTGTGCATGCTCAAGATCTCAAGAGGAGAATGAGGAGAAGGGATTGTGGCATGGCCGCCCCCCCCGGAGGGTGATTTCTCACTTTCTGTCTCTCTGGCTCTTTGTCTCTCTGTCTTTCCAGCAAATGCACATACCCTATAGCAAAAATCCCTCTTAAAAAATAAAGATAGAGGGAACCAGCAGTTAGCGTAATGGCTATGTCGCTGGATTCCCATGTAGTCACGTCCTGGACCCGGTTGCTTAAGACTCACGCCGGGCGCGTGTGCATGCGTGCCCAAGATCCCGAGAGGAGAATGGAGGAGAAGGGATTGCGGCTTGACCATCCCCCGGAGATTTCTCGCTTTTTGTCTCTAATGTCTCTCTCTGTCTGTCTGGCGAGCGCATGCTCCCTATAGCGAAAATCTCTCAAAAAAAAAAAAAAAAAAGATAGAAATTAAGACTGAAATCAAAAGGTTCACATAAATTAATGATAACAAGTGTTTATAACCTACAGGACAGCACAAAAGCAGTCATAAAGGGAAATTCATAGCAATTAGTACCCACAAGGAAAACACAGAAAGGTGGAAAATAAACAACCTGATGACACAACTCAGGGAACTAGAAAGACAACAACCAAAAAAATTCCAAGAGAAAAGAAATAATAAAGATTCAAGCAGAAATAAGTGAAATTGAGAATAAAAAGACTGTACCAAAAAATAAGTAAAACCAAAAGCTGTTTCTTTAAGAAGATAAACAAAATTGGCATACCTTAGTTAGATTCATCAAGAACAGAGAAAGAAACCAGATAAATCACATGAGCAAGGAAACAGGCGTTATTACAACAGCTATAACAGAAATACAAAATATCATTAGAGAATACTAGGAGTGACTATATGCCAACACACACAAAAAGTTCCAATTAAAATATGGGAAAATGAACTGAAAGACACCTCCAAAGAAGACTTGAGAATGGCAACAAAGCATATAAAAACGAGCTCGACATCTCTTATCATAAGGGAAATGCGAATCAAAAACCACAATGATTTACCACTTAACCACAGTCAGAATGGCTAAAATTTTAAAAATAAATAATTGTAAGTGCTGGTGAGGCTGTGGGGAAAAGAGAACTCTTCTACACTGTTGGTGGGAGTGCAAATTAGCACAACCACTTTGGAGAACAATATGGAGATTCCTCAGAAGCCTATCATACAACCCAGTGATTCCACTTTTAGGTATTTACCCAAAGGATAGAAAAACACTCAATTGGAAAAACCCTTGCACATCCATGCTTATTATAGCATTATTTAATCAGGAGAACATGGAATCAATCCAAACGTCCAAATGCCTGGCTATCTAGCAGAAACGGAAATGGAGAGTTGGAAGGCATAGGAGCAGGGAGGGCAACGGTAGATATTAGAGAAGTAAGACGTGGTAATATAGGGGTGGGTGATGGAAGGAGGGGGACGGGAAGGAAAGTACGTTTAATTGACAAAAGAACAAGAAGCTATTTGCTGATGATAATGTATGTAGTAATGTCTTTATCTTGATTGGTATGCATGATATTTGTACTGAAAAAAGCAATGTTGTACACTGTAAAAATAAATGTGATTAAATGTAAATTAAGATAAAATAAATAATGTATAGTATGTCACCATATATCTGTTTATGAATTGTGAATAAAGAATACATTCCATTAAGAAAAAAAAAAAAAAAGAGAGAGAAATCCTCAATAGGTTAAAATCTCCTTTCCCCCTGGAACATACTTCTGCAATCTGAATCAAAATAGATGAAGTCTAGCATGCAAATTGTTCAAATTTTGGAACAGTTAACACGTCATCCTTTAATTTTAGCCTAGATATGTAAAAGGGACACTCAGAAGTATTCAGTGCATGCATAAATGAGTGGTAAACAGAAGAAGGAGTTATAAGGACGACCAGGCATTCTGGTGTCAGTGGCAGACTAACAGGTGGGAGTCCAAGGCTGTGGCTTTAGACAATGAGGTCCTATCCTTTGCTCTTAGTTCTCAGCCCAGATACACACACACACACACACACACACACACACACACACACACGCACACACACACACACAACATTAAACAATGCAAAAGATCCATTTTTTCTTCTACACAATTTTCCCTGAACTTTTGCTACTACAAGTCATACTCATCACAGTGAGAATAATATATTTCAACGGGAGAGTAAGTTCTTTTTTTTTTTTTTTGGAGAGATTTTCACTGTAGGGCGCGTGCGCTCGCCAGACAGACAGAGAGAGACATAGAGACAGAAAGCGAGAAATCACCCCCCAGCGGGGATGGTCACGCCGCAATCCCTTCTCCTCCATTCTCCTCTCGGGATCTTGGGCACGCACGCACACGCGCCCGGCGTGAGTTTTAAGCCACCGGGTCCGGGACACAAACCGCGGTCGACTACGTGGGAGTCCAGCGACATAGCCATTACGCTAACTGCTGGTTCCCGGGAGAGTAAGTTCTTAAATCTACCATCAACTCGGCACTTCCAGGCTTTTGGGACAGATTAAGGAAAACTTACATACTTTAACATTATAATTACAATAAAAATGATTGAATGAGCCCCTAGTCGTATGATTAATAAGTGCCTTGAGTTTAAGTGATACTATAAAATGTTTGATACAATGACTGGCCAGTGAGAAATTTTGGAATTAAGCCATCACATTATTTCATTTACTTAGAACGTATTCTTAAGGAGAGACAGTAGCCACTCACGTGGCAGGTTTGACTAGTTTGAAAGAACAACGTCAGTGCTCATTTTATAAAATGCCTTTTTAATCAGGCAACATTTCATTCTTCATCTTTTGCTTCTAATCACTGTTCGCTTGAATGCTGAACAAAATGATAGCTAATTTTGGAAGGTCAATAAAAAGTGTTATACTTATTTCAACATAAGACTACAAGTTCTTCACCATGCTTAAATACTATTATTGAGGCTATAGCTGAGTTTGTAAAGTAATATATTTAGGCATATATATTATAGCAAGGGGAAAATGAAATCAGAGGATTTATAACGCCTCATATAACGACAAAGAGTTTATAAGACGTGATGACAGGGAAGCACCTAAGACAGGGATCAAGAACAGAAACACCAACATCAATGAATGATGCCCAACCACCAAAATATGACTCCCTGTCCCTCATGTCCATAAAGTTAGAAGTGTCGTTTCAAAACTACAGACGCACCTTGGTCTATATACGGCCATTAAGTAATTTGTAGATTCTTTGACAATAATCTATTTAACACAGGTTATGATTATTCTTTTGAGTTGTAATATACTGATAGATTAAATTTAGAAATTCATACTCTAAATTGTATCATATCAAAAATATTTTCTAATGTAATATATTGGATTGTGACAGTAAAATAAATTACCCTTTGCTTGACTGACCAGAGAGTATTTAAGTTTAAGAAACTGTATATACATGCAATTCTAGCTGTATCCTCAGTTTCAGGGCAAGATAAAAATAATAGTTATGCAACCACACAGGCACACACGTGCACGCACACACGCGCACATACACACACATATACTCCTGTGCTGTATTATTGTAGCCCATGTTATAAAACTTCCTCAATGCTAACGTGAGCTTCACTCAGCACTGTAACTACCTCGTCATGTCATTCTCATCCTCTACCTCTGCAAAACTTCTCCTTGAATTCCAGTTACAGGCTCAGCTGTTTAGCAATCATCCCAAAGTTACACTAGACGTTTTTATGCACGTAAGATGATGGAGACTTATAATATCAGAACTAATCTCTTAAATCCACAGAAATATACAATGAAATGATATAATTTTTGAGGCAACATAAGATCTTAAATCAAAGATGGATAAGACATTTAGGAGATTCTCAGCGTAAGTAGGTAAGATGGGGAAGGTTTCCGCTTAAGCTGCCCTTACCAGAATCCACATTGACTTCAGCAACCAAATTCCTATGCAGTGCTTTTAACAGATTCTGATAGTCTTTGCTGGAACCTACGGAAGAGAAAAAATAAAAAGTAAGCTTTATTACAGCTCAGTCAAGCTCAGCTATCTGTGCTTCTGTTAATACTTCATTCTCGGTTTTTCCTGCTATAATTTGACTCTAATCGCTCTTCCTTTATATCTCTTTTTCCTTCCATGCCTTTAATAAAGGTCTTTCCTGAAACTTTTCCTTAGAATGTCCTCTTTTTCTTTCCCAAATCACTGCCTTCTGATGCACAAACTGTACATTTTCCAAGGAAAACTGTTGGTAACAGCCCGTTTAGTCCTGTCTCCACACAAGGGCTATGAGCATGGTTTCTATTTCGCAGTGTCCCCAGCCCCAAAGCCTACATGGTGCTACACAACAACATTTACACAAGTCCCTCCCCACTTTCAAGAGGATCACTTTTCGTTTTACATCACTTTGGTTCTAAAGTATTGGATCAGTAGAGAAAAGACACGAGTTCTCTTTGCCTCCTCCCCCACTTCAGGTCCTGGCCTTGAACATGAGGGGAGCAGTGTGGCAGAAGCGTCTGAGCTTTTTTTACGTATTTATGGTGCCTGATATGTAGGGAGTACCGCCCCCAGGAATAGGCTCTTCCTAACGTTGTACAGATTCTGACATTGCAGTGCCGACCTTATTTGAATTGCTTCTCACAAATCACAATAAAAAAATACAGGTGAAGATATCTAAATTCTTGACCCCAAATCATAATAGTAACAAGTTTTATGTATCGCCTCATAACAAGTAATCGCTAATTTTATTGGCTTAAAACAAAGGCATTTATCTTCTCAAAAGTGTTCTGAGGGTCAGACACTGGACAGTGGCTTAAGTTCAAAGGGTCTGGCTCTCAGTCTTTGAAGTTCATCTTCACAAGACCTCCTCTTTCTTTTTTGGTTTTTTTTTTTGGCAGCTTTCTGGAGGGGACATGTGCTCACTGGAGAGAGATGGGACGGGGCGTAGGGAGAAAGAACTCCCCATGAGGAACAGTCATGCTACAATCCTTTCTCTTCCACCTCCCTCCTTTTGGGATTTTGGGCACACACGGAAACATGGCCAGTGTGTTGTTCAACCAGCTGAGCCCAGGATTCAAACCCATAGTCAGCCATAGGGGACCAGCTGCCTTAACCACCATGCCACAGGACTCACTGGAGAGAGACAGAGAAAAGGAGTGTGAGAAATCACCCTTCATGGAGGATTGGCACTCTGCAATCCCTTCTTCTATTGGGATTTTGGGCATATACACATGTGCCCAATGTAATTTTCTTTTTTCCTTTTTTTTTTTTTTTTTTTTTTGGCTATAGGGCACATGCACTTGCCAGAGAGACAGAAACCAAGAAATCACTCCTGAAGGGGGAATAGCCATGCCACAATTACAATCCCTTCTCCTCTACTCTCCTCTTGGGATTTTGGGCACACATGCACACATGCCCAGAGTGAGTTTTAAGCTGCTGGGTCTGGGACTTGAACTACGGTTGACTATGTGGGAGTCCAGCGATGTAACCATTATGCCATCTGCTGGTCCTGCCCAATGTAATTTTCACGCCACCAGACCTGGGACTCAAACCACAAAGTTGGTCATATAGGACCTAGGCTCCTTAATTTCCATATCACCTGCTAGATCCTCCCATTTTTTCAATGACTCTAAATTTTTTAATTGCCAGAGAGAGTTTTTACCAGGGAGAAAGAGAGAGAGAAAGCACCTCTGAAGAGTCATGGCCCCACTACAAGCCTCCTTCCTCCATTTATCCATCCTGTCAGGATTTGGGGCACATATGCGCAGGCACCTGTCCTGCGTTTCAAGTAACTAGGGCTGGGATTTCAACTGCAGCTGGCCATGTGGGATTCAGTCACTCAACCACTGTCCTAAGGGGCTGAGCCTCTACCTTTTTATCTTGGAAACATTTTACTTGGTTTAAATATCTGTTAAACTGCCAAGTAAGCTGCACCTCTCTGTTAATTTCTCAGGAGGATCTATATTATATAGTAAGACTTCTGTCCTGTGGTTAAGTCCTAAGAATCGAACAGGGATAATTTTCACCAATTCAGTGTCTGAATTCTTTTCAGGGTGCCCAAAGGCATAGACACAAGGTTGTTCTTAAACACTTTTATTCTATAGATAGTTCCTATAAAAACTACTATAAATTATTCTGAAATATTTTTTCTTCTGTTCCAGGGTTCTGAGCTGATAAGACAAACCTTATTTCAGAAATGCTTATAGGAAATATAAACAGTTTGACCAATGACACAGAAGGCTTAAAATAATTAGGAAATGTTTATAAAACTGATTGAACTTTAAAAATGAACTTTTACAAGAATGACAACCTGGATGGAGAAAGCTCCCCTACCAACATGTCATTATCTATAACATACAAGATGAGAAAACACTTCAAAATGCTTCTGGAATTATTGCTTTAAAAATCATTTTAACACATGGCAACTTTTAATTGCTTATTTTCTAAATGGTTTATAGCAATTGAATAAATTATGAATTTTCAACAAGGTGAAATTTTTGCAGAAAGATAAAATATATTTAGTTTCTTAAATATAAAACTTACAGAAAACTGTTTTATCAACCATGTCCCTTGAGTAAAGCAAAATCTGAGTCTTATACTCAGCCACCCAATATGCAAAAGATTAGTTACTGCGTAATAGAACACAGACTTGAAAAACACTGAAATATTTCCCTTCTTAATCCCTTTACACAGGGGCTATTTAAAACTGTGGTCAGTTCTTGTGGCTGGCTGTAGTTCGTCCTCTGTAAGGCACTGCAAACTCCGAGTTAGCAAACACGGAGCTCGTGTCCAGAAGAATCGCTGGTCAGGTACCGCGAGCACTTCCATTAAGCAATCAGTACAGAAGTGTGTTTGGTGTGTGTCTTACTAACCGACACTTCATTTAACATACGATGTTGATCCAGCGAACTCCCCTCCAGCGGCCACACTACAGCTCCTCCTCAACAAAGCTCACCTACGCATGTTTTTCTGGAAGACAAATGTCATAGAATGCTAGCGAGCACATCAGCACCGCTTCTGGGGCCATTCCGAACAGCCAAATCACCAACAGAAAACACAGAATATGACACGAAAAGTTTCACTGAATAGGTTTCCGACGTGTTCGTGGCAAGAGAGCTGAAACAAGAAAAGAGTGCATGGCCCTGTGCCACCTCGCTGGGCACCATGCCCTGGGCAGCTCGGCTCCTCTGCCCCTCTGTCCTGGCAGTGGCCACCAGAGAGCCCAGAGCGCTGGTCCCGGGGTCAGCAGTGCAGCTCAGCGAGTCAGCAGGTGTCTAAGTGCACATTCTGAGAACAGTGAGACTGGCCATACAGAGTCCCAGTGACGGATCTGCCTAGGTGCTGTCTCTGTGACTGGACTCGCCCCTCCCTGGGCTTCCAGCACCATCTGACTCAGCTCCAACTCCACACTTCGGGTTTTCAAGTTTCCAAATCCAAATATCTCTTTCAAATAGGTCAACTTTCCATTTTGAATAACTTTTTCTTTGATCACGCCATGTCTAACTCTTACACATTTTGTTTTACTTTCAAATTTTTAAAATAAATCATTTCTATCTGATGACAGGGCTTCATTTCCCTATCAGCCCTAACTCTTCAAAACATGTGGCTATTGCATCAGCCCCAGTTACAGCTGCATTCTCCCCTGACACCAGAAATCTCCTTCCTGGAAAACCTGATGGCTTTCTGAGGTCTCAGGGAGACTCGAGGCACTTCTCAGCACTCTGTGGGGTCTCGGGACCTCCCCTGCAGCGCCGGCCTCTCCTTTGACCTTGGTCTGCATGCTGCCTCGCTTTCCTCTTTCCTCCTCTTCTGTATGGACTTTTCAAGATCAGGGACAAACAACGTGACCATGACAGTAGATGGCCATGTGCAGGCACATGTTAAAGAATTTAATAATATGCATTTTTTAAGTTTCTTTCTTTCTTTCATGAGCAAGAGAGAAAGACAGGAAGAGAGAGACAGAGAGACAGCCATTCCCAACAGAGCGCTGATGCTACACTCCAACTCCAGCTCTCTCGGCTCCAGGTCATAGGCTTGCGCATGCCCAGTGAGCTCAGAGACATCCTGACAGCGACCTGGAGTTTCGCTTAGGGTCAGCCTCACCAAGAAGTGCGTTTTGCTGCTGTGTCAACATCCAGCTACAAAAGTGTGCCCTTTACAAGACTAAAATACAATTTAATATCTCTAGTTATAAAACGCTGAAAAATATTTTTTACAAATATCAGTGAGTGATTCCTATGACCTATCCTAAGGGATATTCAAGAAATTTTAAAATCATTGATATATGTATAGATGGAAAGCCATTATTTCTACATTACAACTTAAAAAGTTGAACAAGAATATGATCATTGAACACTATTAAAAGCTCACTATTACAAGCTCTAAGTAGAAAGTCAGATGGAATTCAATTCATTTAAAACCACATAAACACTGATAATTTCCCAATTTTTAAATTAGAGGTCCCATAGTCTCTTTTGACAATGTTTTGTTTTTGGTTTTGGTTTTGGTTTTTGGTTTTTTTCCATTGAGGGAATAAATCTGAGTTCAATTCAAAAGCAAATCCAGAAAACACCAGGCACTTGGGAGTCCATTCCTCTCCACTCCAGTGTTGAAGTGAATATTGAAATAGGAACAGAGAGTCTACATTTAAAAAAAAATAGTAATTCCATTAGAAAGTTGAATCAATGATCAGTTAGCTTTTTCCATACTGACATTTTTCCATATTTTGCATACTAAATACTATGTTAAATTCTATTTGGATAATTTTACATGGAAAGAACTGAATCCTTCATATGAGTCATCCCTCAAAGACCTTACATTTTGGCATTTTGGTAGCTAATGTGGTAAGTTTATATTTCTTTATGCCTTTAAGCTTTAGAGAGTAAATATGAAGTTAAGTTTCTACAAAGTAAAAAAAATAATAATAATACTTCCATTACCCTGTTTCATGCTTTTAACCAAATATGGTTAAGGATATCTTACAATAGCGATGTTAC